TGGATGGTTGTTAGCCATCATGTGGGTGCTGGGAATTGAACCCAGGTCTTCGGCAAGAAGAGTCAGTGCTCTTATCCACTGAGCCATCTTCCCAGCCCCTAAAATTATATTTATTGTTTGTGGGGGGGTGCGTGTATGTCATGGCATGCATGTGGAGGTCAGAGGACAACTTTTGAGAGTTGGTACTCTCCATCGTGTGAGTTCCAGGGATTTAACGTGGGTCATCAGGGATGGTGGCAAGTACATTTACCTGCTGAGCCATCTTGCTGGCCCCTCTTGGCATGTTTTCTGTTTTTAAATGTGTTAAGGTCTATTTTATGACCTGCAATGTAGTCCATATTGATGAATGTTCCATTTAAGTTGGAGAATTATTGTGCTGGTATTGTATGAAGTCTTAAAAAACTTTTAATTTATGCATATCAGTGCTTTGCTTGCTTATGTAAGTGCACCACGTGTACAAAGCGTGTAGAGGCCAGAAGAGGGTGCTGGATCCCAAGGCACTGGAGTTAAGAATGGTTGTTAGCTACCATGCCATGGGGGTGCTGGGAACTGAACCCTCTGCAAGAACAGCCAGTGCTCTTAACCACTGAGCCATCTCTCCAGCCTATATGAAATATCTTTTTAAAAAAGATTTTTGCGGCTGGGTGTGGTGGCGCACGCCTTTAATCCCAGCACTTGGGAGGCAGAGGCAGGTAGATCTCTGTGAGTTCGAGGCCAGCCTGGTCTACATAGAGAGTTCCAGGTCAGCTGGGGCTACAGGGAGACCCTGTCTCAAAAAACAAAATAAAATATATAGAAAAGGATCAATGTTATGTCTCAGTGGGTAAAGGTGCTTGCCACCAAGTCTGATGACGTGTGTTCAATCCCCAAGACCTACATGGTGAAAGGAGGTGCACGTGTAGGTAGGGACCTGTGGAACTTCCTGGAGCTGGAGTTCCAGGTGATTGTGAGATGCCTGATGTAGGTGCTGGAAATGCAGTCCTCTATGAGTAGTAAGGACACTTAACTGCTGAGCCACTTCTTCCAGCCCTGTATGAACTGTTGTCAGATCTAGTTGATGGTAGTGTTTGGTTCAAATATGTCCTAAACTTTCTGCCAGCTGACCTGCAAATTACTGATACAGATGGTTGATGAATACTCCAGGTAAACATCTCAAATGGCTGCCTTTACATTATGCAATACCTCTATCTGGTCATTTGCTTTGCTTTGAATTTGCATAAAATTAACTACCCCAAATGTCTTTTTAAAAATTTAAAGATTATTTTGAGTATCTGCATACATGTATTTAAGTGCACCCATGTTATTCAATGACCTTGGAGCCTAGAAGAGGGTGCAGATCTCCTGGAACTGGAATTAAAGATGGGGTTGTTAGCCATTATGTGTGCTGGGAACTGAACCCTGGTTCTCTCCAAGAGCAGTCAGTGCTCTTAACCACTAAGTCATCTCTCCAGCCCCCAGCCAGATATCTTTTTTTTAAAAAAAAATATTTATTTTTATTTTACGTGTATGAGTGTATTGCCTGCATGTAGGTAAGTGCACCTGTGTCATGCAATGCCCATGGAGGACAGAAGAGGCCATCAGATCCCTGGAACTAGAGTTACAGACAGTTGGTAGCTGCCATGTGGGTGCTGGGATTCAAACTCAGGTCTTTTGCAAGAACCACCAGTGTTCTTAACCACTGAGCCATCTCTCCAGCCCCCGATATCATTCTTTTTTTTTTGTCTTTTTGAGACAGGGTCTCCCTGTAGCCCCACCTGGCCTCGAACTCACTTTGTAGACCAGGGTGGCCTCAAACTCACAGAGATCCGCCTGCTTCTGCCTCCTGAGTGCTGGGATTACAGGTATGTGCAAACATGCCTGGCCAGATCTTATTTTTACATGTATGAATGTTTGCATGTATGTATGCGCACCATGTCTCCATGGTACTCTTGGAGGCCAGAGGCACTGGAGCTCCTGGAACTGTGAGCCACTGTGTGGGTGCCGGGAAACAAACCCAGGTCTTCTGCAAGAGCGGCATTTGCTCAGGAGCTCAGCATCTCTCCAGCTCTTTTGATTAGAAGTACCACAGCCCATCATCTTCCCCTATCCCAACAGCCTATGCCCATTTTAATAACTCATTCACTGATTTATTCATATATTGTGGTGTGGGGGAATCAAACCCAGGGCCTCATGCATGCTAGGCAGGCACTTATCACTGAGTACACCCCCAGCTTGTGTGTCTGTTTCTTGTAGACAACATGAAAGTTGGGCTTTTCTTACTGTCTATAGCCCCAGCTGGTCTGGAACTCACCACGTAGACCAGGCTGGCTGGCCTCGATCTCACAGAAATCCACCTGTCTTTTGCCTCCTAAATGCTGGGATTAAAGGTGTGTCCCACCATGTCCATAGGGTCTCACTGTATAGCTTTAAGTGGCATGAACTTGCTATGTAGAGTGGGCTGGCCTCGAACTCAGCCTACCTCTGCCTCCTAAGTGCTGGGACTAAAGACATGTGCCACCATGCCTGGCAATTTATAACTTTTAAAAAATGTTTGACTTTGTGTGTACCACAGGTGCATACACCATGGTGCACGTGTGATCAGCAGACAGCTCTTAAGATTCTGTGGGAATCCAAGGATTCAACACAGGTTGTCTGGCCTGACCCAAGCACCTCTACCCACCTGCTGAGCCATCTCACCTGCCCAACTTAAGGAAAGCACATTCATTTCAGCTGTACGGAAGAGCTGCCTGACTTCAACATGGGCTTGACTCTTAGCCCTTAGCTCTTGTTACTCACTTGCTGAGACCTTAAGAGTCTTCCAACTATCACAGCTGATGATAGTTTACAAGAGAATCTGAGAAATCCTCAAGTTCTGTCGCTGGCTGTCCCACACTGGCTGAATCATTCCACCTCTGAGCTTGTCTTCATTTGCAGCAGGCTCATTCAATCATGTCCATAAAAGTATCTAGCTCAGAGTAGGTGCTGGTGCCAATGAATCCAACATGGGCCTTTCTCTTTCAGTTGCCAAAGTGTTTCTTCTATTCGACTGTGGTGGGCTAAGAAAATTACCTAACTTTGAACTACTGCTATCTAGGAGACACACAGCAGGCCGGAACAAATACTGCATTTAAACTTCAGGGGGGCAGCAAAGGGTCCACTGTAGTGACTTGCTCACACCGAACAGTATGTGGCTGTGAAGGGTGCTCAATATCGACACAGCCAAAGACTCCTCATGATGCCAAACGAGCAGCGTGGATGTCACCCAAGAAGAGGATCCGACTCTCATACTTATTTTCCAAGGCCTAAAGCAACTTCAACCCAGAGAGGGCACTTGGAATGCCAGCCTGGTGCTGAGTGGCTGGAGAGTGGGCTGCAGTCTCCTGAGCTCCCACAATACTGATTCCAGGAAGATTAACCCCGTCAGAACCCAACACATGATGCTTTCTATCCTTTATAGCATCTTTGTTCAGAATCAAAATATCTAATTGCTAGGGAAATAACCATCACTAGGGATGTTCTAGGTACATAGTGTTCATGACAAATGTCAAAGATTATAGAAACATAACTTTGTTTAGACATAAGTTGTTTGGAAGACAGGAATAGGAACAAAGCTTGGGATGCTAGATGGAAAAATATATTGTGAAATTAAGGAGGATGAAAATCCAAGTTTCAGCCATGCGTGGTGGCGCACGCCTTTAATCCCAGCACTGGGAGGCAGAGGTAGGCGGATCTCTGTGAGTTCGAGGTCAGCCTGGTCTCCATGGTGAATTCAGGACAACTAGGGCTGCAGGGAGACCCTGTCTCGAAAAGCCCCCCCCCCAAAAAAAAGAAAATCCGAGTTTCAAAGTTTTAGTTATGAAAAAAGGAAAATGCCCAAATGTCCCTATCCTTACGAGGAAAAGATCAAGGGACCCTGCAGTCTTACCATCACTGGAGACCAGATCAAGGTGGATTCCTTGTCATGGTGCCACAATAAAGGGCCAAAGAAAAAAGTCACGAAAAGTTCAAGAGACTGTCCAGTCTGTTCTGGAAGTTCTATGGTCCAAACTGAGTCCCGTGTCATTTCATACTCTATGTCTAGACATGTTGCTTGTGCATCCTGAACACCCTCACACCACCTTCAGGGCTGAAGCACAGCTCTGCTCTCCACACCTTTCTGTCCAAATACTTCAATGTTTCCAGTGCTGACATGACAGCCTGGAGTCGTCCTGGTGCTGAGGCCCTGGCATGACCCCGGGTCCTGCTGAACCTGTCCACTTCTTATTCGAATCTCATGCTCCTGGGTGCACTGCCTATGCCTTCTCAACTCCATGGCTTTGCCCCACTGGCTCTCCACGTCTCCAAAGGCAAGTCTCAGTGGCTCTGAGTCAGATGAAGTCCTGGCCACCCTCCCTGAATGCTCACTTGCCCTCAGGTGTTTATCATTTGAAGACAGATCATAAACTCCAGGAGGGCAAGAAACAGTCTTGTACCCCAGTGCATCCTGGTATGAGATGCAGGTCTCATCTATGGTAGACAACAGGGCAGTTTACAGCATAGTGGGAGAACCCAAGCCTGCTTTGCTGCCCTCAATGGTCTGGAGGGCTAACAGTAGTCAGGGGCCAGTCTCAGGTACCGCTTGTACTGTGCTAACCAGTCAGTGCAGGAGTGACTGGGACAAGGCAGTCTGGCAGTTCCCCGGGGTTTCAGCTAGCTCAGGTTGTGGGGTGATGTGAGAGGGTCAGGAGGGTGGATTCATGGGAACACCAACAAGCGTGGAAGAAAGAGCTCTGCTCACGAGGGACTCTTGGGGTTGCTGTTTTCAAATGGCCTTGTTTCTCATCAGCTTGACCGCCAGCTTCTGAAGAGAACCTTCAGAAATCACAAATCCTGGGACACTTGCCTTTATTCTGCTGGGTGAGAAAGATCCTTTGGTAAGTCTCGTACCCCACGTAGGGACAAAACGGCACCACGGATCTACTTTTTACACTGAGAGGACAGACCAAGACACACCAGGAAATGCAACTCAGATTCAAGCACCATGAAATTTTGTCAAGCAAAAATAGTCTTTATTCAAATTTAATGGAAACAGGGATCACTATACTTTGCAAGACAGGGAAAAATAAAATTAAAAAAAATTCTTTTCTTTTTTAATATAAAACAATATCATCACAATACCAGAATATGGAGCTCTACAGTTACTTCCTAAGGGTTATGCAGGTATCATCTCTCCACTGTGCTATCCACAACTTTGTTAGGTCCAAAATTAGGAAACCAAAGTGGTAGGAAACTGAAGACTTAGCACTTTCACTAAATGGCGTACATCAAAGGGCTCAATTCAAGGGCAAAATGGCCAAACTCACCATACCTACCCATGCCATCATTCCAGCCTTAGAAGGCGTCCAGGTGCCGAACTCCCTGTAGTAGTGGCCAGGCCTGAGAGCCAAGGCGTTTGAATATTCTACCGTGGGCCGTGAGTGAAGGGGGCGAAAAGATCTGTTCTTCAGTTGAGCAGGAAGGCCTGGCCAGGAGGCTTTACTGAGGAAGCACTTAGATTGAACAATTATAGACACACCATTAGGGGAGTTAAAACTGTACAGCAGTGACGATGTTCTACTCCAATCACTTGTGCTACGGCTACCAAACATGTACAAAAGACTTCTGGGTAGTTCCAGTCGTGGGTGTAGCCAGTTAGGATCTTGAGTGGGACCGAGATCTAGACCGCGAGGGCGATCTGGAAGCAGATTTGGACCTGGACCGAGACCGGGTTTTTGAGGCTGACTTTGACCTGGAGCGTGATTTTGCTGGAAGGTTTGGTTTTGATTTGGAATTGGATCTTGACCGGGCTCGGGGCTCAGGATTGGGGGCAGCACTCTCACCCTCGCCCCGGCCTTCCCTCTGGCCAGATTCTGCCTTGGCGTGTTCCCGCTCCTTAGATACTGAGCGGGACCGTGACCTGGATCGCGAGCGGTCAGTGCCGTCCTTCTTCCTCTTCTTGCCACCGCCGCCGGCCTTGCTGTCTCGCTTGCTGCTGCGCTTTCTGCCATGCTCGCTCTTGCTGCGGCTGCGGCTGCGGCTGCGGCTCTGCTCCCTGCTCCGCTTCCTGCCTTTTCTCTTGTCCTTGCTTTTGCTGCGGCTGCGGCTCCGACTCTTGAGCAGGCTCTTCTCCTTGCTGCGGCTGCGGCTCCCGCTCCCTCGCTTCTCTTCTGCTCTCCGCTCCTGGCTCCGACTCCGACTCTCGCTTTTGTGGCTGGGACTCCGGCTCTTGGCTTTGCCGGTGCTATCGTTCTGGAGCTTGTCCTCGGCGGCATGGTCTTTGCTCTTGCCACGGTTCTTGTCGGCACTGCGGCTGCGACTGCGGCTCTTGTCTTTGCTAGGGCTCCTGCTTTTCTCTTTCTTGCTGCGGCTGTGGCTCTGGCTGCGGCTGCGGCTCTTGCTCCGGGAGTGGGAGCCTGACCTGGGGAGACACGGGATGCTGGGTGACAGGTGACTCGACAGTTCCAAGTGAGGAGCTGAAGAGACCAGAGCGGTCGCTATCCTGACCCGATGCCTGTAAGCAGGCCAAGGGCTGCTTTCCTATGTGGAGCAGGAAAGGCGAGGACACAGGGCGCTGGAGACCCACCTGGATCGGGACCGACTCTTAGAATGGCTGCTTTTGCTGCTGCCACTCCGGCTTCTGCTCTTCCGAGAATGTCTGCTTCGAGAGCGAGACCTGCGGAGAGAAAGAAATTTTTTAAAAGCTATTTTAATTTTATGTGTATGAGTGCATTGCCCACATGTATGTGAGTGCACCCCTGTTGTGCAATGCCATGGAGGTCAGAAGAGGGCTTCGGATTCCCCTGGAACTAGAGTTAAGGACGGTTCGTAGCCACCATGTGGGTGCTGGGAATCGAACCCGGGTCCCCGCTGAGCCCAAGAGAAAAAAATTTTAAGACTGTTGGTAAAAGGTCAGCTGACTGGAGTCAACCAAAATATTCTATAAATCAAAAACTCAATTCAGGACTGGAGAGATAGCTCAGCAGTTAAGAGCACTGGCTGCTTTTGCAGAGGACAGGGGTTCAGTTCCCAGCACCCACATGGCTCTATAACTCCAGTTCTAGGGGATCTGATTCCCTCTTCTATCATCCTCCCTCACCCCCTGCATTGCATATAGGCAAAACACTGAATCTGCTCCATGTAAAAGCCGGGTATAGTGGTACATGCCTGTAATCCCAGTCCTGGGGAGGAAGAGACAGAAGGATCCCTGGAGCTCACTTGCCAGTCACTCTAGTTGAACTGGAAAACCCAGATTCAGAAAAAGACCTCATCTCAAAAACTAAGGTGGGGAGCTGACTCAGGTCCTCATGCTTACACAGCACGCACTTAACCCACTAAGTATATAGGTCCCTAGCACCCATGTAAACTCTGGATGTGGTAGCATGTGCCTGAAATCCCAATGCTGAAGGGCAGAGGCAGGAAGCTGACTGGCAGCCAGTGTAGCTGAATCAGCACGCTCCAGTGAGAGAGCCTGTCTCAAAAATAAGGCGGAGCGAGAGGAAGACCCTGAATTCAGAAGTCTCCGCAGTCAGTCCCCGCACATTCACATCACATACACAGTCACATACACCAGGTTCACTATGGCTGTACCCAGGCCCATACTGATGGTCTCTTGCACACATCCATCTAGACTGCTTCCCTGAAACTCTTCTCGCCTCTGATCGTGAAGCACTGACTTTCCTCCTAGACCTGGCTCCATTTTTATCCTGAGGCCACTGTGACTTGCCCAGTTCCTCTCAAGAAACCAAAGCCATCCTGACTGGTTCCCTCTGTTCTCTGACAACTTACCTTTCCATCTCCTATAGTCTACTGCCTCTTCTGCTCTCCCTGAGCCAGCCACCGCCACCCCTCCCTGGCACCGTAAGAGCCTCCCAACTTGACTTAAAAAAATTATTAACCTTGTATATATGTGTGAGTGTGTGGTTGTATGTGTGAGGGTACTGGCCCGTGAACCCCCAAGGATCAGTCTCCACCTCTTGCCATTACTGGGGTTACAGGCATACACCACTATTCATAGCTTTTTATGTGGGCCCTGGGGATCCAAACTCATGTCCTCACGTTTGAAGCATTTAACCAGTCATCATTTTGCCAGTCCCCACCCAGTTTCTGTTTCTGAAAATGCTTTTGCCCATTTCGTCCCTTGATGTGAACAAAGGGCTGTTTACAAGGCAAATTTTCCAAATTTGATCAAGAAAACTCTTACATCTAGATTGGATTCTTACTGCTTCAGACTTGGGGGAAATGACTGTCCAGGGATAGGGCCTAGGGCACAGAGGGAAAATGTTCAAAACCTCCTGGGTACTGTCACTTATGAAGTACTCTTACCCAAATGTCCAACCTGCATCTCAATCAGACTCTGCCAGAGCTGACTTCCAGCTTATAGAAGTCCAGGGGATAAAGTCTCAGTTCAATGACTGCAAGAACATAAATCCTGACTGTGGGATAGGATTTGAAGGAGGCAAGAATAATACGTATCATGGGAAAAAAGTGGCGAGACCGCTCCAGGTGAGAGACTTAATAACCTTTTGCATACATGACTAAATTGGATCCTGGTCAGGAAATATCCAATACAAAGACATCCATGAAGCAACTGAGTAAACAAAAATAGGGCTTGGACATTAGATAAGTGATACAATTATGCACTGCTAATATTTTTAGAGAGAACCCAGAACTAGTCATCATCATTTTTGGAGACAGGTGGTACACAGGCCTTTATGAACTGGACTTTCAACGTTCATATTTGAAAATTACCACAAGAACAGGTATTGGGCAGACAGTAAAGTACATTCACATTAAAAACAAAATAAAAGACAACATGGAAGACACAGAGCCCATCTGAAGGGATCCTGATGACAGCTGACATTATCAATCTGAACACTGAAATTCATGGTGCAACAGATGAGACCCCAAACACACACATACGAGAAACTCACCTGGAGACATTAAGCAATCACTCTCATCACTGTGGAAGTTGCTCAGCACACTGGCAATGAACTGACCCCACTAGGATATGCCTCTCCTCTAATGTGTTAAGACAAAGTTTTGAGTTCACAGGAAATATGGGAAGGAATGTGTCAAACTTAAACCACACCATGCAACCAGCAAAATCTAAATTATGGGGAAATTGTCAGAAGACACAGCCCTACTTCCAACAAAAACGCATAGAAAATAACAGCTTCTCTACTCTGGGAGACTCACTCCCACCTCAGGCCTGACCTCTTTGCCAGAAAGTCAAGTCTCTTCTCTACCTACTCCAACTTCCCTTTGGGGGCTTGGCTTCGATGACTGTCCTCACCAACCCAAAAGAATGGTTGTGCTGGGTATATATCCTTCAATGAGCCAGTCACAATGGCTATACCTTGATCACTGCCTGTCTTCTGCCAAGGAGAGCAGGGATCGGATCCATCTTGCTCACAACTACGTCCGCTGCTTAGGCTGGTGCCTAACCTGCTGGCAGAGCAGCTGCTAAATCTGACAGTCTGTACTCTTGGGTAGCTGGTCTATCAGGAAGCGTAATTGCAGGAACCTGGCCATGTGTGCTTCTAGCCCAGTGCAGGATTCAGCTTGCCAGAAGAAATGTGAAGGGCCACTGAGTCCCATCTCAGAAAAAGGACTTTACTTCTATTTATATTCATGACATAAGAGTTCAAGAGGTTTTTTTTTTTTTTTGTCTTTTTGAGGCAGGGTCTCCTTGTAGCCCCAGCTGTCCTGGACTCACTATGTAGACCAGGCTGGCCTTGAACTCACAAAGATCCGCCTACCTCTGCCTCCCAAGTGCTGGGATTAAAGGTGTGCGCCACCACGCCCGGCTTGAGTTCAAGAGTTTTACAAATAAATTGTTCAGTTCAAAGTTCTGAGTTATTGAACCACATAGAATCATAACAAGTGAACCCAAAAGGGAAACATCATCAGATTACCTGTGTTTATTAGTGAATTATTGCTGAGTGCCAACACATATAAGATGTCAACAGTACCTTGAATGACTCCGGCTCCTGGAGTAGGACCGTCGCCGTCTAGAACCTGGCTTGTCTTCAACTAATCTGATTTTTCTGCCATTGACTTCTGTTCCATCCAACTTTTCCAAGGCTCTTTTCATATCAGAATAAGATACAAATTCAATCACCCCTTCATTTTTGCGTCCCTTATGAGCATCTGCGTACGTCACTTCTCCTGCCTGGCGCATATAATCCTAAAAAACAAAAAAATCCTTGAATATATTAGGACACGCTTTGCTAAAATATTCCATGCAAACATCGAAGTGAAAGCTTTCTTTTTTCTTTGAAAAAATGTCAGCTTTCTTCAGGAAGTTTATGTTTAACTACTTCCATCTACTCACACCTACTCATTGAGGCCTTCTTTTGGGGCAGTACTGAGGACTGAATCTAGGGTCTTACATGCCCTGGCAAGTGCTCTACACTAAGCTGAAGCACCCCCCACCCTCTTGACTTATGAAGACAGTCTCACTGAGTTGTCCAGGCTGGCCTTGAACTTTCATCCTCCTGCCTCAACCTCCCAAGTAGTTGGGGTTAGAGGTTTGCATCCCCAGGCCTGGCTGAGGTTCACCAGGCATTGACTGAGTGGGAGAGGTAGTAAAAAAAATATTAAAACCGTTCCTTTTAAATAAAGCTATGTGTGAACATAAAGACTTAGTGGATTCACACGATCTAAACTGTACAGTGGTGAACTCCTTGTTTGTAAAAGCTCATGTCACTGCATTTAAGCTAGGCCTTTCACACATCACTGTATCCACAGAGGAAAGAGGTAAAGACACTGATGTCAGCAAATCTATAAGGGGATTACGAAACTAGGCCCAGATTTTTAATTTAAAATGGTTATAGTCTCGGGCTGGGTGTGGTGGTGCACGCCTTTAATCCCAGCACTGGGGAGGCAGAGGCAGGTGGATCTTTGTGAGGTCAAGGCCAGCCTGGTCTACATAGTGAGTTCCAGGACAGCTGGGACTACAAGGAGACCCTGAATCAAAAAGACAAAAAAAAAAAGGTTATATTCTCTTAAAAACAAAGTTAAGGTGCAAAAAGCAACTGAAGAGAGCTGTGTCTGGCTCCAGCTTAATTGGCCTGACACTCCATGTCCCTTCACAAGTACCTCTCTTCATCATCTTTAAGGATTCAATATGGTCCAGTGATAGAAAATCAGTGTGCTAAATTGAGGCTGACGGTACACATGAACAAAGGGAGATGTGACTAGTGCTGGAGGAAAACTGAATTTGGATGAAATTTAAAATTTTGGGCGTTAATATCAGTGCTTCCTTTTTTTTAAAAAAAACTTATTTTTATTTTACGTGTATTGTCTGCATTTAAGTGCATCTATGTTGTGCAGTGCCTGTAGAGGGCAGAGGGTCTCGGATCTCCTGGAACTGGAGTTACAGATAGTTGTTAGCCACCATGTGGGTGCTGGGATTGGAACCCAGGTCTTCTGCAAGAACAGCCAGTGTTCTTAACTGCTGAGTCATTTCTCTAGTCCTATCAAACACTTGTTTATAATGATACACACTCAATAGGTTGTGGCCTGACCACAAGTGTTTATCAAAATTCATTTTGTTGAGTTCTTTCCTGATCATATTTATGAATATTGAACCTGTCACTTTATACCATTTCCTTGCTCACTGTACCATAAAGATGTTTATGTGCCTTAATAGACAACCTTCCTAATTAGCGTGCCCTGTACTTTTTTGTAGGTTTTCTCAACTGTTGAGAATGAAGGTTATACGCAGATTTTGACTATCATTCAAGCCTGGTCAAAAATGCCTTTGTAGACAAAAAATATTTATTTTAATTATCTGCAAGATAAAAAGGCCAGGAGTCATCCGAACTGGAATACACTTGACAGGGATGTGCATGCTGGTCGTGGTAGGTCAAGACGGACTGCCATGGCAGAGGAAAGCAAAGGATGAACAGTGAAAGGCTGGGCCAGTGTCACTCTCTGCTCCATCCCACCATACTTCCAAATTAGTTATGGCTGACAGTTCCCAACAGTGAATGCTTATTGTGTGGGTTTTTTTTTTTTTTTTTTTTTTTTTGTTTGAGACAGGGTCTCCCTGTAGCCCCAGCTGGCCTGGAACTCACAGAGATGACCCCCTGCCTCTGCCTCTCGGGTGCTGGGACTAAAGGTGTGCACCACCATGCCTGGCTTATTGTGTGTTTTAAGTAACTTACCCCTAACTATAACCACAGAAGGCAGATATAACCATCACCTCCATTTTATAGATATAGTGAATTATAACATGGATGTTAAGTAAACTGTAAGGTCAGTGAAGATTTTGTGGATTAAAAAAAAAGAGCCCTTCAATTTTTTCATTTCCTTATTAATAGCAAACATTTCCTGTGCTAAGATCCCTTCAGGTTTTTACTGAACTGTTATAATAACCATCAGTAGAAATTAGTATTAACTCTAAAATCTAAGCCTAGTGACACAGCCTGTAATTTCAGTTACTCAGAAGGCTGAAGCAGGAAGATCAAGTCTATGACTGTATGAGTTACAGAGTGAGTTCAGGCCAGGTCTCCCTGTAGGCCCAGCTGGCCTGGAACTCACTATGGAGATAAGGCTGGCTTTGATCTCATAGAAATCTACTTGCCCCTGCCTCCCAAGTGCTGCGCTACTATGCCCACTAAGATTTTTCTTTTAAATTACATGCATATGTGCGTATCTGCATAGGAGTATGTATATGAATACAGGTATCTGTGGAAGCCAGAAGAGAGCATTGCATCCCTTGGAGCTGGAGCTACAGGTGGTTTTGAGTAAACTGACATGGGTGCTGGGACCTGAACTTGGGTCCTCTACAAGAACAGTACACTCTTAACTACTGAGCCATCTCTCTGGTCCCAAGGGCTAGCCTTTTCTGACTAAGAGAGAAGTTTCTTAGTTCCAACCCACAATGCCCAATCCCTGCTCAAAGCCTGGCCATGTGTAGACAACCTGTGAAGGTGTGCTGTGATGCTGGCAGCTACCATCAACACAGGAAACCCCCTGCAGTGGAAGTCAGGGGTCCTGATCCCAGCTCTTCTATTAAGACCGACTTAACCTTTTCTGTAGCGCCCCCCGCCTTCTTTATCTGAAGTTTGTTGGGATCTTCTAAAATGACACAAATGTAAAGAATTCCTAATTACTCTTTTCTCAACTCACTCATTTTGCTAAGGATTTATTGGTGGGGGCGGGGAGAAAGGAGAGGAAACAACACTTCATTTGTAGTTGGGGCACTATTCAGTAAGTTTTTTTTCCCTACTCAGATTCAAAACCAACACTGTTCTCAAGAAATGATTTCATATACACTGGATCTTTTTTTTTTTTGGGGGGGGGGGTCTTTTTGAGACAGAGTCTCTCTGTAGCCCCAGCTGTCCCGGAACTCACTATGTAGACTAGGGTGGCCTTGAACTCACAGAGATCCGCCTACCTCTGCCTCCCAAGTGCTGGGATTAAAGGTGTGCACCACCTCGCCCGGCCAACTAGATGTTTTTTGTAGTGTTGGGGACTGAGTCCAGAACCTTACGTTTCCTAGCCAGGTAAGTGCCTACCACCAAGCTACATTCCCAGTCCTGGATCTTAACTTTTGTCAACAAAACTCAGAATAAATATTTCTTGAAAACTTGGTTTTTTTTTTTTTTTTTTTTGAGATAAAGTTTCATTTTATAGCACAGACTGGCCTGGAAGTCACTATGTAACCCTGGCTGGGATTAGAGGTGCACACCAATACACCTAGCTGAGAAATCTTATGAAAGATCATGGGTTAGACAGTTTCACCATGCAGATTCACACTGGAAGCTGACAGTCTACACGCATGGCTCATGTTTACAGAAACATGAGTGATTTCAGCTTTCTGAGGACCACACTGACATCTGCCTAGCACACCGCTTATAGTGGAAAATTTCACATCACAAAAATTTGCCCTAAGAGTGGGAGGCTTACACGTATGTACAGTATTAGTGAGACTGATGCCTTGTATTCCCTACAGAACCTTTATCTGTAAAGTTTCCCAAATGCTCTGGTGGTTTTCAAATATGTAATCTCATTACAGTCTGAAGCCTGAGTCTGCATAAATGTACCTGTCTCCTTATCTTACTCCTGTCCCCCAGAAAGTTAATGAGTCCCAAACCTTTAGGTCTTGCCAGCTACATCGACTCGACAAGTTCTCCACAATAAGTCTGTACTCTGTGCGGGTAGGAGGCCCGTATTTGTCGCGACCACTTCTTCTATAACCATATCCACCTTTAAGAGGTTCAAATAGACAAGATCATTTCAATGGAAAGTAGTGCTTATTCCCTTATAATACATGACACTCTCACTCCTCAAAGATAGCATGTATATTTTAACTCTAATCCCACCCTGAATTCTAAATTAGAGTTTAAACATGAAAATTTAATTTACTGAGTTATAAGTATAATGTTCACTCATCAATATTTATATTTAAAATTAATGTGTAAATTAAGAACTATCAACAACTTAATTTAGAAATAAGCAAATCGCTAAATCAGTCACTATTATTACTCAAATTGATTACATTTTTTGTGAATATTTTGTATAGAAAAAGGTTTTCAGGCACCTACTGCAGTTTAATCTCAGCTGTGTTTAACCCTTGGGATCCTCACCACCCAGGTCTAAGGGGGAACAGTTGCAGTCATCACATGGCTTTCTTTTTTTGATCAGCCAAGGGCTACAAAGATGTTCAAGAGCCAGGCAGGCATGGAAAGGCAACCCATGGTCGGCAAATGGAACAGGCAGTCATCGTAGCCTCAAAGGGGTCTTAATTAAAACACTAAAGTCTTTATAAATCTATGTTAAACAATCACATTATGGAGGAAAAACAAAACAAAACAAAATACAAATACATCATTAAACATTTATAAAGTATTAAAACAAGAGTCAAGTAATTAAGAATATTACCAAAATTGTTTATTTGCAATTCTGTATTTTAAAAGATACAAAATTCAAAAAAAAAGATGGCTTAAACAACAGTACATTTAAATAGAACATTAATTACTTTAAAATTAGCATTTCATACAAAGGCCCATCACTGATAACAAAGAGCCCTTCAAATGCTTACTGCGTCCGGAACCGTAACTGCCATCTCGACGTGGGCCGCGGGCATGCTCGACAATTACTCGCTCACCACAAAGGTCTTTGCCATTCAGTTCATAAACAGCATCATCTGCATCTCGCAGATCATCAAACTCCACAAAACCATACCTACAAGAGAGCAAACAAAACTGGGTTGACACCATCTGACATCCAGCTTCACTAACACGCCAGAGAAATCAACGAAGTTCATGCTTAGCACAGGTGGGGGCTGCACCCTAGGGCCAACTCTCTCTTGGTAGCCGAGACCACTTTGCTTTGTTCCGGCAGGCAACTGCGAGAGGTAGGAAGGTTTCTTAAAGCGAAGAAGGAGGCTGCCTGGACAGAGTGAACATGTCTTCTATCTTCCAAGTAGCTGAAGACAGCAGCAAATACCTGCTGTTTCAAAACATCACATAAAAACCCATCCCTTTGGAACTTTACAAGTAATACCCTAGAGTACAACTGGGCCTACATTTAGGCACAGATGCATTAACAGTTCAATCATGTTTAAAGTAACAGTAGGTAAAAATCACAGAATCTTAAATCTCTTTTGTGAAAGACTTAGGAAAAAAAAGTTCCTGTTCTCCCTAAACAAATTAGTCATAAATGAATGAACTGTTCTAGAAATTATTGGTGTAAAACAAAATCTGTAGCTGTTTACTTCCCTCTGGGATTCCAAGTTTATTACCATGATGCTTTGGATAGGCTGGAATGGCCTACATACAAACTGTACAAGCTTTTTCAACAATGTATTACTAGTATTTCCAAGCAAAGAGATATGATGGTTTTATTCATGTGGGGGAACCCTCCCCCAAATCCTATCAATGCTTGCTATGCTATAGGGTACAGCTTGTAAAGCAAAGTATAGAATTTGTAACTTATAAGCAAGGTTAAACCCAACCTGGAAGATTTGGTCTAACATATCTATGAAAGGCCTGCTTTGTGACCACTGTCTATACTTAAAAACCAAAATCATCTGTCTTTTGTTTTGGTTTTTTGAGACAGGGTCTCTCTATGTAGCCCTGGCTAGCCTGGAACTAGCTATGTAGACCAGGCTGGCCTCAAACTCAGAGATGCACCTGCCTCTGCTGGGATTAAGAGAGTGTGCCACCATGCCTGGCCATATACCATCTTTCTGATCCTGCTAATCACAAATAAAGCTACAAGCCAGTTCTTTAGACTTTTTTGGTTTTTTTTGAGAAGGGTCTCCCTGTAGCCCCAGCTGTCCTGGAACTCGCTATGTAGACCAGGCTGGCCTTGAACTCACAGAGATCCACCTGCCTCTGCCTCCCGAGTGCTGGGATTAAAGGCGTGCGCCACCACGCCAGTCTCTTTAGACTTTTAACAAGCCCATGCACACAGGCAAACTGTGTTCCTCTGCACTTACAACACACTGACATAGGCTACAAGAAAGAGTTGCCAGGGGACTTGCCCAGATTACCATGGACAAATAACTTGGGATTTTGTGGTGTAGGTGGGAGACAGGGTCTCACTATGGAGCCCCGGCTAGCCTTGAATCCCTGAGTATTGGGATTATAGGTGTGTACTGCCATGCCTCACCATTCTAGTTTCCTGAGCTTGTAATACTCAGTAACATGTCAAGCGAGAGCATTTAGAATTGCAGAAATTCACCTTTACTTAAGAGTTTTCTAAACAAGTCGCTCAAAGTGACAATGTGTGAAGTTATAAGGTGCGGGCCAAACTTTGGAGAGTTGGTTTATTTATTTGATAGAGGGTCTCACTAAGTAGCCCTGGCTAGCCTGGAATTTGCTATGGTGAACAAGCTGGCCTTGAACTCAGAGATTTGCCTGCCTCTGCCTCCTGAATGCTGGGATTAAAGGTGTAAATCACCACACCCCAATTTTACTTTTTAAAATTACATTCATTTATTTAGTATGTGTTATATGAACGTGCCATGGTGCACATGTAGAGGTCAGAGGACAACTTATGGGAGTTGGTTCTTTTCTTCTACCATGTGGGTCCCAGGAATCAAACTCTGGTTGTCAGGCTTAGCATCAAGCACCTTTACCCACTGAGCCATCTTGTTGTCCCACTCTGTGTTTTTGAGGCAGGGCCTCTCACTGCCTAGAACTCACTAAGTAGGCTAGGTTGGCTGGTCAGCCCTTCTAGAGGGTTTTTTAGGCTGAAATGTCTGAGTAGCACTCAAATTCACTGATTTTCAACTTCATTGAAAACAAAACCAAAATGGACATACCCGTTTTTCTCGGGGGGTCTTTTTGAGATAGGGTCTCCCTGGAGTCCCAGCTGTCCTGGAGCTATGTAGACCAGGCTGGCCTTGAACTCATAGAGATCTGCCTGCCTCTGCCTCCTGAGTGCTGGGATTAAAGGCATGCGCCACCACGCCCAGCTATACCTGGTTATTTAATAGGAAATGTTTTTCAGAACAATTCAAAGCTATCTGGCCCAATACAGGGGCTGTGAAGTTTCTGCAATAAGCTTCATGCTTTCATGGGCCAGGATGGAGCAGCTTAATAAGAGTGAGCTTTGCAAGCATACTGCTGCATTTAAGAAAGTAACACCTTCTTAATAACTCACTATGCTCAAAGTTGCTTCATAGCACTAAAAATCTAAAATTGATAGTATATTTGTAGCCGTCTTTCCCTTTCCTAGATAAAATAAATGGGTCATCGGGGAAGTGGTATTATTTCCAGAGGAAAACACTTTTAAAAGCAGATTTAAAACACAAACAAAAACAAACCCAAGACTAACTACTTTACTTGGCTTGGTTTATGATCTACTTAGCTAGATCATAACATATCAAAATGAGCCAAGTACTGCCCTTTCCTAACTGTCTAGAACAGTCCCAGGTCTGCTCTGCCAAGGCACCATGTAAAGCCAAATGCTAAGTAGAGGGATGGTCGAGAACACTCGCTGTGGTCACGATGAGATGGTGTTCCCGCCCTAAGTGGTACCCACTGGCTTGGTGCCCCTCAATGACTAACTTAGTGTGAGGTCACAATAGCACAGACTCCTGAGGATTAAACAAATCAATTACAGGACAATTTAACTACTTTCTTCTAAACAGTGGAGGTTTATAACTTAAAATTACAGAGTGGTAAGACCTAAGCTCTGAAGGGCAATGTATGGTAGCAGGAAGCCCAGCTGCTGTGGATGTTCAGTGATGGCTTCAACAGGACCCCTGTGGGATGCATCTCAGACTCAGAGAACATCCTACTCCATCATTTCTGTGCAGAGCTCACTGGAAGCTTCAGGGGGAGCAGTGACAGTCTGTTCACGGGAGGCACAGTCATTTAAACACAGGAATCAATGCGTCTAGACGGACCAATCTCTCTAAAAGCTAAGGCTGAAGCAAGACACACCTCACCAGTAAAATCTTTGCCTGAGCTATAGGGACAATTTGTGAAGTCAGTAGCTATTTTGAGTGGAGGTAGTTGTTACTTATTAAAATAGTTGACTAAGGTCCAGTTTATTTCACATGAAAACTTTGATGACTTCTGAGAAGCCACAAAATCTATTTGGGCATTTTGATATCAAAGTCCAGATCAAAGATCAAATCAGGCACCTGACTGTCACTCTCTCAGCCTGGCACACTGGGTGTTGAGAACAATAAACAACTAAGAAGCCTAGTACAGAGAAAGAAGAAGTGAGAGAGACTCCTGTTCTGAGATGAAGCAGGGCAGTGTGGCAGCTTCTACCACAATGCTCTTCAGTTGGGTCTGCACTCCTTAGGCAAGTACAGTGAATGGGACCCCAAACAGGCAGCACCCTGGACAACAAGAAAATGTCACCTCATATTTACTAAGCAGTTTCTTGTTCTAAACAATGTGACCATATTTAGGATCCATGGCATTCAAGAGCCAGATACTAGTAACCATTTCACAGATGAGAAACTGAGGCAATAAAGTTGGTACTCTTGTTAAAATTCAGCAGGGCTGCTATTCACAGCCTGCGGACAGATAGCAGAGCTCCAACTCGAATCTACTAAGAATGGATCAGCAAGCACTGGCCTGTGCTGTAGTCTGGGTCTGTCAGAAACCAGTTCTCAACAGCTTATTTATTTATTTAATTTCTTTGGATTTAATTCTTTGTAAAATCACAGTGTATAATACTACATATAGCTAAGGTTTCTTCTAACACTGAAAGTATGACAGACAATGTTAAGATTCACAGTCCTTTAGCTTAAGAACAGATGATTTAAACTTTAAAACTGGGCAGGTATGGACTGAGAGGGAGCAGTAGCACCAGGGGTACACAAAGCAGCAGAGGACATGAAACGTTGTCTAACATATCTTTTAATTAGTATTGGGTCTCAATACTAATTTTAAAATCTTAACAGTCCTTGAGCTAAATTTTAGTAGCTTCAAAAAGTAAAGTTCTTCCTGGCTAACTAACATCAGATAATGCTTAAAAATTAGCCTGAGTTCCCTCCTCCTCCTTTTTAATAAATATATTTTTTTAAAAAAATTGCCCTGACACCCTCTTTGTGCCTTACAGCAAAAATGACTTTTTTAGACTCTTCTGTCAAAATAAGGAAGGATATAAGATGCATACCCGCGTGTATGTGCATTTTCGTATGTATGCATATGTGACTTTATCAGAGGTTATTAACATTCCCTGGTGGGTCCTGTGAGTAAGTCTCATAAAACACAACCTGGACAGATAAATTTCTCTAACTCTAACTGCAAACATTCTTCCTCTTCTGCTCTATTGAAAGGGATACTGTTTAAAAGTCCAAGTATGAGAATGAAGGCAATGAGGGAATGAAGAGTGAGCTTAAGGTACAGCCCCAGTCCAGTGGGGACTGATAAAAACACGCCTTGCTCTCCTCTGAGGCGGCAGTCACTTGTGCTTTCTCCGTCACGTGAAAGCTCTATGAAATGCATGACACTTGAATCAAAACAAAACAAAAAAACCTTTCGTCAAGGTTTCTCTGCTATTGTCCCTTCCCAAAGTGCTTCTGGTCCTGGTCTATTCTGGCAAATAGTCAACAGAACCAGGGGCGAGGAGAACTGCTGTCACTTTCCCCCTGAAAACCTCTGAGCTTCATGATTCTCAACAAGGCTGGGGGGTACCGGGCCACCCAAAGCAAAGTCACGCTGCACCTGTGGCTGCTCTGATCCCTGTGCAGTGCTCTAGTCTGCCTCATA